GTAGCAAAGCATAGCACTGGAGTAGAGCTGGCGCGTGTTATGCGGTACAGTGTTCTGTGAATACGGTGAGCTTGAATTGTTACAGTTTGGGAGCCATTGGTGCAAGGTATGTGAGTCAAGCTTGATGTATTGCGGGCAACGCTCATCCAATGTATGTCTGATCATCCTGTATCCAAACACACAAAACATAATGGCCATCAGGTATGCACCATGCAAGGTTTGAGAAGCTAACATTTCTTTTCAAAGATGATGCTGGTTCAAGAGTTGTTTAACCCGCGCCCCGCTGGGCTATTCAGCCATACGCGCCCTGCTGGGGGGGGGGGGGGGCAGATTCTGCCCCCCTGTCTTACTTCCGAACCGATGGTCGTAGAAAGACGGGGAAAACGGCAATCGAAAGCTCTCAACAAAGCGGATCTTAAGAGCCTAATTTTTTTATCTTAAGTAGGTCAGAGGTCAGGTCAAGGTCAGGTCAAGGGTACAAAATGCAAGTTTCTACAGTATCGGCCTTGCACCGTAGTTGCCGAAAAATGGACTGAGTCTGATTGCCCAAAACGTGTTCTTAGACTACCAAGACAATATTCGTTGCATACAATGTCATTCAAAGGTCAAGGTCAAGGTCAGGTCAGGTCAGGTCAGGTCACCAAAAACAAAATATAGAAAAGGGCATGTGCGACACATGTTTTATGGGTCATTTTACTCATAGAATTCAATAGGCACACTCAATAAGTGATATGGACCACCTCTGGATGAATTTCAGGCCAAGGTCAGGTCAAGGTCAGGTCAAGTGAGGTCAAATTTTGAAGTTGGTTGTTAAGGCCTAAAAAGTTGTCTATCTGATGCAGTTTTTCACGGCAAATCGAATGGTGCTATTTTTGTTTCCATACGAGGTCTAGAACGTCAAAAAAAATGTTTCAAAATTTTTGTTTGTCGTGACGTCATAAAATTTTGAATAACTCCCACATTTTTGAACCGATTCTTCTAGAAATTGGTATGTAGGTGCACATAGACCACTTCTATGACATATATTTCGGTTTTTTCATTACACTCAAAATTTTGGATTTTAGAATTATTTTCCCAAAAAAGCAGTTTTTGAAAAAATTTGGGCCAATACCCAAAAATTTCAAAAAACCTAGACAGCCATTTCATATACAAAGTAGAATCACGTATAACCTTTTTGTTACGTCTTGATTCCTTTAAAAATGAAGATATAGCGGCGTTTGAAATTTTGTCGTTTTTGAGGCGAAAATGGCAAACATGACGTCACTAAAACGTCAATTTCTCAAAAAAATTCCGACGGATTTTGCTCAAATTTTCAGGGAACGTGTCAAATTGATGTATGATAAGGTACTCAAAGTTTGACGTCGCTGGCGTAACGCGTTTAGAAGTTATTGGCGAAAAACGGGAGGGGGCAGATTCTGCCCCCCCCCCCCCCAGCGGGGCGCGGGTTAAAGCCGACAGCTAGAAATTAAATGTCAAATAAGCCTAGCTCCTAGCAGAGTGCTGGTTACAAAGGGCGAATATTAGCGATCTGTAACTTCGTCCAATTTTCCACTTACAGTTCTCAGAACCTACCAAATTGGACACTAATTATGTACAACATAAAATTACATTCCGAATTTTTATGCTTACGAATATATGCACTGACAGAGCCCCGTATAGCACGCAGGCTAAGTGACAGCCGTCACCGTCAGCCAATTTGGGGGATGTAGGAAGGTCAAAGGTGGATATATGAACATAGGGGATGGCAGAGTTGTTAAGGGTTTCTCCGAATTCCAAAACTTTCCTTTGCTGATGTATGTATAGCGGTGCAACTAAAAAGAGATCGTAATTGTTTTGATACGAGTTGAATGGCGGTTTTATGCGGATTGTGAGTAACTGGCCAACTTTTAATTATAAAAAAAAAAATCGGACGTTGCAAACCACTTTGGAGGGGACATCAGTCCTGCAATACACTTTGCAAACCATAGGTGACATGCTGTACAGTCTGTCTTAAAAGTACCGCGCAAAGTGGCGGTGGATCCATCAAGCCTGACCGAGAAAGGTCTGCTTTAATTTGAAAGTCACCGAACCAATTGAGCTGGGGAATGGACGAGGATGTCCATTGCTTCGGTGACCCAAATTTAGCAGGCCCTTCCTCAGTCAGGCTCGATGGATCCACCGCCACTTTGCGCGGTACTTTTAAGACAGACTGTACCGCTCTATGTCCTCAATCTTCATACCAAGCACGAGCATGCTGAAATATTGCGTGATAAGCGACACAGTCAGCCAGTGTCATGCCAGTCAACTGCTGCGGTGGCCAATAAAGGGTGGAACAAAATTCCATAGCTATCTAAACTATTTGCCTGCATATACGTTACAGTGGTCTGCATTGTGTAATGTTTACCCTGTAGTTCGTTGAACACTCCAGCAGGGCACAGCTTCCCTCAACGCCCCGCGCGCCCCTGTCACCCCCCCCCCCCCTCCTCCCTCCTGCGGCGCCCCCTCTCTGGTCACGTGTCATCACTGCCGCGCCACTGCCCGCTAATAAGCCGGCCATGGTGATCCATGAGCCGGCGACGGTCAGCGGCAGCGGCGTAAAATCGGCACTTACAGCGCGGCGGCCGGCGGCGCGCCCAATTTTGGCGCGCCGCCGCCCGTTATTGGCGCGCCACGTGAACGGAGCGCGCGCTAATCGGTTTAGTCGCCGGCTCATGTCGTCAGGGGCCGCTCGGGCACCGCAGAGGGGAATTTTAGACGTTATTGAATTGAATTACGATAGGAGAAGGCGATTGTTGATGCAGAATTAGTCGAATAACTACGGGGGTTGGGGTGCGTTAAAAACGTGTGGAATTTGAGGCTTGGGTTGAATCAATATAGGTACGGCACCAGATAAAAAGTCACATAGATAGAAGGAAGGGGATCTGCAACTCTGTGAAATTATCACAACAGAAGCAATGTTAAAAACATCGTAAGAGGGAAATGGTAGCGGACAAACATTTACATAAAATAAAAAATAAAAACACTGTCAGAAAATACGCTTTTTGTGTGACCTATAGGTATTTATTTATCTATCAATTTATTTATTCATTTGTTTATTCATTTTCTACCTGCCTTGAGACCCTGACTAACCACAACCTGGCCTTTGGATATCCGCCACTCTGAACAGCTGGGGGACTGAGACTCTGAAACAGCTCGGGAGTAGCTGAGGACAGACCCTCTGCAGCTCGACCCCAGCACAGCGAGAGAGAGCGGCCCGCGGCCGTCGGTCGGTCGGCTCCGCTCAGCCGGTTCGATGGCAGTGCTATCAGCCGGCGCCAGCGGCCGTCCCGGCGGCTGGAGGCGAGAGATAACACCCCTCGGAGGGAGTGAGAGGCGGGCGGGAGGGGGAGGAGGCGCACGGCCGTCAGTTCACGGGTGGTGCACCGCAGTCGAGCGGCGTCCGGTGAGGTGACAGGAGTGGCAGCGGGAGCCGCCCACGGCACAGCCACGCAGGCACTGACAGTAGCAGCTGCCCAGTCACACAGGGAGAGCAACAGCCCAGCTTCAGTCACCATTACGTAAAAACCATATATTCAGTCACCGAAAGTAACATTCTCCCAGCCACAATCACCGACAAGAGTAGTCATCCAGAGACGCACTTACAAAAGGACAACAAAACAATAAAAATTGCACTTGTTTATTGTGCGACTAGCAAACAACTATGACACATGTCGCACCTCATTTTGTTAATGTTTGCCAATGACTTATTGACATTGTGGCACTCGTAACCTATTAAACACCAAACAATTAAGATGTCGGACAATTCAAAATATTTTGCATTAAGGCATTTTTACTTACAGACGAAGCTATTCAAACGTTTTTTTTTTGGGGTGGGGGGGGGGGCAGTTCACGGTTGGTGCATGCAGCAGTCGAGCGGCGTCCGGTGAGGTTCTACCATAAGTGAAATGCAATATTTTGTAGGAACTATGAGCACATTTAGGGGAGAGTGGGGCAAAGCGGCCACCCTAACGTTTCTAACGATGCCGACGCTTGATTTTTAAACTTGGAAAGATTCTTTCTATACCAATGTGATCCCTATTAAATTGTCTTTTATTCCAACTGCGTTTCATTTCCAAAGGCGTTCACATATGGGAGATATTGACAAAACTTTAAACCTATAGCATATTGGCCACTTTGCCCCATCCCTGAGGCAAAGCGGCCACTGGCGACTTCTCAAGTCCCGATATGAGAAACAGAATAGTTGCCTCATGCACGACTAGGGTATTTGATGGTGACAAGGTTTAAGGGAAGATGGATGTTTACTTTGTTATCTTCCCACCTATTGCTAAACAAAGAAAGGATTTTCTTGGAAAAACATTTAATTGCATAATTTGGTAACTCATGTAACCGAAAAGTGGCCAAGATGAATGCATGACGACACATTTGAATATAGTTTTTATCCAGATGGAAACAACTTATGGCCAATTGGGGGCTGGCCACTTTGCCCCGGCCGCTTTGCCCCGCGCATACCGTCCGAGACAAAAATATTCCAGCTCAGCTATTAGTGGGGTAAAAAGCATTAAAATTGGTAGAAGGCATGTACGATAACCACGCAATGCATGGACAAAAACGCTTATAAAAATTCCAAACGGTTATGGAATAAAATAACATTTAAAAATTGTAGACATAATTGGTAACCTGGCAAGAAATGCTTTTCCGTGTTTCACAGAAAAATGGCGATGGGCCTGAAACCCCGGTCTGGCTCATTCGAACGACCGCAAAGAGAAGTATAATTGGAAATCATAAATTGGAACTGACGCCAGCTGTGGAGGGCTAAAACGATGGATGGCCGCTTTGCCCCGGGTGGCCGCTTTGCCACACTCTCCCCTACGATCTTATCGATAAACTTAAAATATGTCAGACTAGAATAAGACTGATATGGAATGAAATGGAACGAAAAATGCAAGAACGTGACGTTTTCCCATGGCATGTAATCAAGTGCATCGCATCGGAGGTCCTTTACAGTAACCATGGCAACCATCACTATCACGAACTGTTTTTATCACGAACATAAAAATATTCATCCTTATGTTTTGTTTATCTTTTTATGTGGATAATTTGACAAGCAATGCAAATAACGTATTGAAATAAAGCACCACAAAGATGAAAAGGCAGCTCAGATATTGCTTGATTTTGTTCAACGCTGTAAGATGGTTTAGAAAATAAAACAAATATGATTTGCTTACAATTTTGGTACAGGTCTGAAATGGCGCACAAATAACTGCACTTATACCTAATCTTATAGCTACGCCATTATCAGAAACATTCATTTTATCAGCAAAGCAATTTCTCTCAAGTGAAATAGACAATACAATCCTACCATCGTCCTGAAAATCATACTAACAAAAATAAAATGCCCGATCAGCCTATAACCGACAAGGAACCAACAAGACTGAGTGCTCGCGAATATAACTCACCGGAATCAACATTTCGACAAGCCGCTGATAGAAAACGGGGCCCGAAGCTGGGCAAATGTGAGCCGTACAGACCCGATCCTGTTGGCCCGAGGCCAGTCGCCACCTTCGTCCGATTTGCACCTACTTCCTGTTTCGACCATGAATGCATCAAAGTTGACAGAGAAAATAGTGTAAGTATGAATGACGTAAAACAATGGAAATGCAATTATGCCAATTGACTCTCATAATTGAAATTGCCAATTGAAATACCAATTAACTATTACTTATTAGTATAATCATATAGTTATATATTAAAACAACTAGTGGGGATTGACATAAAATGACACAATCTAAAAGACTGTATGTACCGCTACAAGCAATATTATGTAAGATACATGTTTACATATTTATCGCACACTTAATTCCTCTTGCAGTCTTTTGCGTATTATGTTAATATACAAGCCCTCGTTGTTTATTACTCGCCTTTATTTCAGACGGTGGATATCGAATGCGGGGCTGCCAACGGGAAGCTTCTGTGCTCCAAGAAGGGATTCAAGGCTCCGTCTACCACTCTAAATCGCAAGTTTTTATCATTTGGTGCCGATATGGTTTTTCTCAACGCCAGCCAAGATTATCTTTTTACGCATACAATGGAGGACATGGTCGACAAGTAAGTGGTATGGCGCTGGGGAACTGAAGTTGGCTATATGATACATACCTAATTATGCCGATGTGAAAACTGTTCTCACCGATCGATTTTCGTTCTTTTCATATCATTTGAAAAAGTCGTTGCAGCACCGACCTCGAATCGATATAACATAGGACAGCACATTGCCGTACCACTGACGATCTATGTTTGTCAGGGCTCTGAACGGCTTCAGCGGTACGATGATGGCCTGCGGTCCGGTGGCCGCCGGGAAGACGTACACACTGTTCTCGCCCGGAGAGAGGTACCCGGTAAGTTAGCCACACTCATCGCTACAGTCTACAGTACAGTATCTAGAGTCTACAGCGACACTTCTACAGTCTACAGCCGCAGTACAATCTACAGCTATGTGAAAAGCGATAATGTGAACACATATACATATATTGCACAAACCGGTTTCGATATTACTTCATCAGTGTGCAAATATATAAATAAAACACACAAAATACAAAACGGAGACGAAATAGGTACAGCAGATATTACACTGATGAAGTAATATCAAAACCTGTTTGTGCAATATATATGTGTTCACATTATCGCTTTTCACAAACGTCAAACTGTCATACCACAATCTACAGCTACCTCGACTTTTGCACCTTTTTCATAGCTCAGCTATTATTGCACTGGATCCCGAGCTGCGGTTGTGTTGGTAGCTGAGCTGCGCCAGCACTGCCTTTATTCTGACCTAAGCCACTACCATTTCCTGCAGTACCGGGGCCTGGTGGCACGCACCATTGAGCGAGTGTTCAAGACGCTAAGCGAATGGGACGAACGGACAGCGGCCGTCACCATCTCCTTCATCGAGATCGTCGGAGAGAACGTCTATGACCTGCTCTCGCCCAAGAAAAAACCCATCACCATCGTGGATAATGGGAAAACGTTTGAACTGAAGGTTAGTTGGAATCGCCATTCCGAAAGACATTTTGCTATGTACAGCCCTCTGCAAACTGCGTGGTAGGTATTCTTTCTTCGACAAAACCGAGAATAACGCGGATACTATGCTATCGGTCGCTCGGAAATCATAACAGCAAGATGCACGAGACTCCGCACCTTAGATTGGCATTATACCATCGCATTCATTTTCCATCCAGTTTGGCAACAAAACCCAAAAGTTTATATTTGCCCCCAAAACAAACTTTTGCATTTTGTTGCCACACAAGGCATATACACAAGACATATACACAAGGCATATACACAAGGCATGTACTTTGTTTAGTGATATACCCAATCGAAGGAGTAGAGCATGGTGCCTCTATTTTCAGTGAGTTCCGACCGACTGACAACATAGTCTTTGAGTTATTACTGGTTTTGTCGAAAAAAGAATACCTACCACGCAGTCTGCTGAGGACTGTACAGTATGTAGGGATATGATTCATACAGACGCTAAAAAATGAAAGATAAAATCAGTACACAAAATTAAGGTGCCAATGAAGAAGCTATGGGTCAAATGTCATGACTCATGACTGTTCGACATTTTAACAAGAGGAGAGAACAACTGTCAACATGCCTTACTCGGTGTATCAAACATGCGGTTTGACCACCACTACTCTCTGCCCCCCAGGGCATGACCCGTCTGCGCGTCATCACCGCGGAGCTGGCGCTGACTGCTCTGTTCCGGGGCTGTGCACTGCGTACCAGCCACCCACACCCGAGGAACGCGCGGGGCAGCTCCACCGGCCACGCGCTGCTCAGTGTGGGCATCGAGTCCCGCAGCCTGGTGGAGACGGAGCCGTTCGATAGACACGGCGAGGTATGTGGGGATATGGGACCTCATGGTGCCACAGGCCGGTCCAGCCTGGTCATGAGGGGAAGAGCAACAGCAACAGGTATATCGAGAGGAATATCGGCAGCGCAGGAAAAACAGCAATTCTAGCTTCTTTGGAGGCGTTTCACTCTACCATTTCATTTTGCTCCTTTATATTGACAATCGCCTAAGCGCTGCCGTACACTGGCGATAGAAGACGGATATCAATAAGTCAGCAGTCAACACTCAACCACGGTGCTACTCTCCTCTATGGCATGCCGTTTGTTTCGCCTCTAGTATTTTTGTTGTTGCCTTCAATGTTTTGCTGTCTGATAGCTCGCCGCCTGAACTCATAACCGAAGGTCATAGTTGATAAACTTTGCAGTCTGGCCATCACATGACCGCCATCTTTGTCCCGGCAGCTGTCGTTCGTGGACCTGGCCGGGTTCGAGAAGATACGTAGCTGGGAGTCGGGAACCGATCGGCCCGGGCCGGGGGTGCTGGTCGACGTCAACAAGTCCATGACCTTCCTCGAACAGGTGGGTGTCAGTGTCTCTGCTGGTACGGGTTTCTGTAGGGGAGAGAGTTGGGCTACAGTAAAACGAGGCATGTACCGCCTTTCTTACATAAATCTCTATACCGAATATCGATGCCGAATGCCGATGTCTCGATATCAATTTAAGCCGCAATCTATATTTCTCAATTACCCTATGGTAGTGAATTGGGAAGACCGGTTCATTTCGATGGAAAGTCTCCTCATTAAACGTCAATCTTTATCTACTGCATGAACCACTAAGTCCATGAAGCCAGGGGCGTCGCCACGGATTTTTGAGTGGGGGGGTCGGGTTTCCGGTCTTTGTCTTGATGGGTAGGGGGTGTTTTTAGCTACACTCCCGGTTTTTTCCTGTGCCCGGAGAAAAACCTCGGCGCGCAGCGCCGCGGAAGCAGCGGTATATCTTATTGTACATCAATTTTGCATCGTGCATAAAAATCAAGCACAGGTCACCTGAGGTCAGGTCACAATGTCATGTCAAGTTCAGTTTTAATGCCTCTTAAAACTGCAATCTTGTCATTCCTATAGATTATCTCCTGACTCCTATAAGTCTGAAATTTGGTGTAATGAATGGTATTATAAGTGCCAACAGTTCATGGATCTGGGATTTTACATCTGAGAAGTGAAGTCAGGTCAAATAGGTATGTGACCTCACCAATCATGATAAGATATGGGAAAAAGCACGATGCCTTCTGCTTTGAAAGAATATGCTAAAAACGCTAGATACTTTTGTAGCCATGGCACCTTGCTCATTTTAGAGACAAGGTGCAGCTAATGACCAGTGCAGTGACTGGAATGGTCAGTGATTAGGTCATCAAAGGTCTCTAACACATTTTCGACAACAACTTTTAATGGAGACGTTGTAGAGCGATGACAGCACCTGGAGTGTGTTCAGCTCAGTAACACAGATCGATCCATATGCAGCAGGCTCTTTTCTAGTCAGGTCATGACCTTTACCTGATGTCAAGTTTTCTATTCAAGTTCAAATTGTAAGCCATGCGACGTGTTTCGACGAAACAAAAACGATGGTGATACATGAATATCATACACATTCACTGAATCATAGGTTGTTACATAACAAATGTTTCGGCAAAATCCGTCCGTTTAGCTGTTTGGACTCTATGGTACACAAGCCATAGACCCGAAGTCATATCTGAGGCGAAGTTGGCGAAAGAGCTTTAAAAAAGCTATCGAATACGCTTTCTGTGTTGCTGTAGGCTAGCTCTTATTCGTATTTTACGGGTCGCTAAGGTAAAACGCTTACCAACGTAACGCTAAGGCATGCTTTCGGCCCCTGATCGAGGTAGAGCTTCGTGGACGAGCGAGAATGCTGCCCGTGATGAGAGAAAGCCAATGATGCCCAATTTCAAGGTCTTGGCCGGGTCATCTTAGGTCAACGCCCAAAAGTAGGACAAATCTGGCCGCCTGCTAGAACTTAGTGAGCCGTAGCTGTTATCGGGGTCCCGAGTACGAGTTTGATGTTAGTCTTGAACAAAAATGATGACTCCATGCATTTTTGGTAGATCGGGTCGGGTCAGGTCAGGTCGACCAGCAGGCTTCACTGTAAAAAAATCTTACAAGCCCCTTGTAGGAAAACCGTTGGCGCAAAAATGAGCATGCAGCGACGTGTAAAAATCGCCTCATATTTAGCTAGTAAGAGGGTACAAGCTTGTTTCGTTAGTAAATGACAAGCCCACGCCTCATAAACCGAGCACCCCCGTGTCAGCCCCTCGTTTCGTTATTCGGTACCTCGTTTGAAAACGAGGGCAAAACCAGCAGATCGGTACGCCGATTAGGCTCCTTAGCAGGACTCGCCTGGTAACCCAACCAGCTAGCGCCTGCTATTGCTGCCCAGTAGTAATACTAGCTCAATTGCGTCACCCCTCCCCCCTCCTTTTCCCCAGCCGCCCCTCCGACTGGTGGACGACCCGGCTAACGACAGCCACGACAGCGTGCCAGCCACGTTACAAAAAAACATACACAAAAATAACGTTTATTACTTATTAGCATACGATACAAAATATCTAAAGCTATACATATTACAATATCATAGCGGAGTGGTGCAAAAGCTGATTCGAGTCACCACCAATAACATTCACAAAATAATACGGTTGCATGAGACACGATCGGGCACTTCCACGGGCTTTGACGCAACGGCACTTACAACAGGCGAGTGAGCAAGTTGATCCTGCCATGTCAGGTACATTGTGCACTGTGCAGTCCATCAAATATTTGCCATACTTTGCAGATTCAAGCAAGTTTTTTTTTTCTGGGCGAGGCTTACCAACAGAAATATCGCTGGCTTCCGGTATACCTTCATGCCTCAGTCTTCCACAACTTTAAGCAACTCTGCAAACAGAAAAGAAAATTAACTGCTGATTTTAAAATATCAGTGAGGATGGCTTTATTATCTACATCAACTGACTTTTGTATAAGATACATCAATGTGAGGCAATATGTGTAGCTTACACATTTGGAAAAAAAGGCTAGACAGCAACTGAAAGAAAGTCCGTCTTCCAACAGTCGGAATTCAAACGAAACAGTGGCCCACAACGGTCAAGGGGTGAATTCTATGACGCAACATGTGTTCAGAATATTACAAAATAAATAAAATGTCCCCCATTGCTACGTAAATATCATACAATATAACGTACCTTCGAAATATCCCAGCCCGAGAACTTCACAACGCACCGTGCCACAACACAACCGCACCAACCGCCGGCAGCCGCAGAACTGAACAATGGCGGCCGGAAATGACGGCCCCGCGCCGGAAGTGAAGGACGCGTTTTAGAAGCAGTCTCAGACTCGTCGCTGCTCACCGTAGCAGGGATTTATGAGGCACTACCGAATCAAAGTCGTTTCGCCTCATTCAGCAACACGAAAACCCTACCAGGACTAGTCCGATGATGAGTTTCCGACTAGGTGGCGTGTGCGCAGGATTATATTTAAAGCACGTGCAGGGCGGTGCCTCATTAGCCGACATAATCATAATATGACACGATAATGAAACACGCATGTAACTAGCATGCAACAAGCTTCTGGCGGATTTAATTATGAGACTATGCGTAGTTTTCCGACACAGCGCGAAATCTGTTGATAAGCAGGAAGGGGTGTTAGAGAAGCATTTAAGTTATTAGGTTACCGTTTGTAACCAATTGTTTCACGAGGCCACTCTTTAACTAACAACCCTCAGGCTGATAATGTCCCTATATATAACAGCAAGGTACAATGGAGGACCGTGTAACCCACCCCTTGTCATAGAATTGGCTCGTGACATTTTTTTACAGTGTTCCTGCCGGCCATGTAGAGTGGATGACTGACAACCACCAACGATAGCTTCGTAACATGTTACATAACCATCATTTATCAAAACTAGGGGAGAGTGGGGCAAAGCGGCCACCCTAACGCTTCTCACGATGCCAACGCTTCATTTTTTAACTTGGAAAGATTCTTTCTATACCAATGTGATCCCTATTAAGTTGCCTTTTATTTCAACTGCGTTTTATTTCCAAAGGCGTTCACATATGAAAGATATTGACAAAACTTTAAACCTATGCATATTGGCCACTTTGCCCCATACCCTGGGGCAAAGCGGCCACCGGCGTCTGCTTAAGTCCCGATATGAGAAACAAAATAGTTCGATAGGCGGCGGCCGCGGCCATAACGGCCGGAGCGACACCAGCGCCACCATCGGCGGGCGGTCGGAACTATCGCAACGGATCGCACGTTAATTCAAATTATTTAGTAACAATACGTTATGCGTCAACGAAACCTTTACTGAAAATTTAAGAAAAATGCATTTCGTATTATAGCTTAATTTCATGATACATCTCGCGATGTAAATAGGTATTTCAATGGATAATTTGATAAGTAAATAATTGCATCACTTCAATTAACTAATAATATCATTGCACATATTTCGCATTCGATAAATGCCCCACCGGAATATGAAAGCCCACAAAGTAGGCTTTCTAAAAATGTGTATTAGTCACAAGTCAGTGATGGCTTATGCTACTTTTGACGCGATTGTTTTCGTTATCGGTCGATATAACATACACTTTTTCTATATTTCAATGCGTACAACCAGTGGCGGATCCTGGGGGGGGTCCACGGGGTCATGACCCCCCCCAAAAGGTCTGAGAGGGTCATTTGACCCCCCCCAAAAGCCGAAGACCTAAATGCGCTATAGACGCCGTCTTGCATGCTCAAAATCACATGTCAAACACTTCTGAGCTAATACCTTTGTTTTTCTGGATCGTGTTGCGTGAAAAGGCGTATTGAAGGCCAGAATCTTACTCATTTTTGTCTCAACCGTGCGAGCACCAGGGGATGATCCAGGAAAACTCCAAGGGGATGGTCATGAATTTAATTCGTGGTGCCCCTACCTATACGCAAAATTAAAAACTCAACGGATTTCGGCCACTTAATTTTGGTGATGTCCTATTTCCATTTTTTTATTTTGTTTGTTTTATTTTTAGTGCCCCTGGGCCCTGGCAGGTCAAAATCACGTCGGAGGCGAAAGAAATTCACGGGAATCCCAAAAATCACGTCAGGACATTCAGGGCACTCTGACCAGCCTGACAGCTAGGGCCCTTCTTACTTCCTGGGGCCTCCAGTGAATAACCGCTAGTGTCTGTGTCGGCCCCTCTGACTCCTCAGTAGGTAGGAGGCCCTCTGTAGAGGAGACCCTCTGTGGAAAGGAGACCGCCTGAATGCAGAAGGCCCTCTGAAGAGAGGAGACCCGCTGTAGAGAGAAGGCCCTCTGAAGAAAGGAGGCTCTCTGTAGAGAAGAGGCCCTCTGAAGAGAGGAAGCCCTTTGCAGAGATGAGGTCCTCTGGCTCTTTGAAGAGAGGAGGTCCTCTGTAAAGGAGGCCCTCTGAAAGGGAGAGACCCTCAGTAGAGAGGAAGCCCTCTGTAGAGAGGAAGCCTTCTGTAGTTAAGAGGCCCTGTGAAAAGAGGAGGCCCGCAGTAGAGATCGGTGGTCCTCTGTAGAGAGGAGACCCCCTCTGTGTTTTGACAAATGTTTTTGCAAATTTTTCGCGGCGCTTCGCGCCGCCGATTCATGTACATACGTACAGGTCAATATGAAATCGTGACTGTAATTACATAAACCAACCGTGTCAAATTGAATCAGAATTCATATGTGTACTGTGAAGAAACTCCGGCTTGTACTGCCATGCTAAAAGGGTGGTAAAATTTGTGTTTTGGAGCGGAGCTGTGTTTTGACACATTCTTTTGCAAATGTTCTCGGCGCTTCGCGCCGCCGATTTATACACCAATCAATAAGAGAGATCGTGACTGTAATAACACCAACCGTGTCAAATTGAATCGGAATTCATATGTGCACTGTGAAGGAACTCCGGCTTGTACTAGCATGCTAAAAGGGTTGTAATATTTGTGTTTTAGAGCTGTGTTTTGACAACTTTTTTCAAATTTTTGCGGCGCTTCGCGCCGCCGATTCATACACAGGTCAATAAGAGAGATCGTGACTGTATGCTACTAATGCATTGGGCATTAGACTAATGCATAAGTGAGGTAACTATATCTACTACTTCTGGGTTTTTAAGTCGGTCGATCCGCCCCCCCCCCCCAGTAAAAAAATCCGTGGCGACGCTCCTCTATAGGTGGGTTTCACTAACTAAAACTACTGAGCCGAGTGACTTACGATAAAACTTCAACTCAGAAACGACGAAGATCAAATGTCATTTGATCTCGACATACTCGCTCCCTACCCCCCCCCCCCCCCGGTCGTCAGAATTCATTCATCAGACCTGGCATGTCGGCCGACTGGTGACCCCCCCCAAAACGTTCCCCTAGATCCGCCCTTGCGTACAACTCAGTCAAATTTGAATGTTACGTTAATGCCCCAGTAGATAATTAAACATCAATTAATTGCCGTTCGAATGATGTTACGCATGCCTCAATGGTGCCTACCCTAAGCTACTTTTTTCTCGTGTCTTGATAAGCAAGCACTAGGCAAAATTGTGGTATCACCATAATTAGCTAATAAAATTAATGAATAAATGACACCTTCGATAAATGCCCCACCAGAATACGATAGCCCACAAAGTAAGCTTTCTAAAAATGCATATTAGTCACAAGTCAGTGATGGCTTATGCTACTTTTGACGCGATTGTTTTCGTTATCGGTCGATATAACATACACTTTTACTATATTTCAATGCTTACAACTCAGTCAAATTTGAATATTACGTTAATGCCCCAGTAGATAATCAAACAGCAATTAATTGCTGTTCGAATGATGGTACCCATACCCCCATTGCGCCTAGCCTAAGTTGCTTTTACCCCGTGTCTTCATTGCCAATCACTGGGTGCAATAGCGGTCTCAGGCCTTATCCAGGCAAAACTGATTTTTAAGGTGAGGGGACAAACGCTAAAGCTATTTCTTTCAAATTTGGCTACTTAAGCGTTTCAAATAAGAGTAAAATTGGAGAACTTCACTTACCTGAACATAATTTACTTTATCTTAAAAATTGACTACCTAATCAAAGTATCAGTAGGCATGATCCAAACATGTAGGTACCTAGGCATGGCGGCGATGGGAGATACCTGTCAGGGTGCGGGCCAGTTATTTTCATGTTCAATCTCGTCATATTGACGCAATCAACGTCGCGTACACATAGAATGTATATTCTTCGCAAGTAGCATATCAATACATTTATCACAAATCTAATGCAGTCACATTAACACATTTTGACACGCACGCTCACGCACCAGATTCTGATGCGCCAACATTTTGATAGGTGCACATTCGCTCGCAATTCAAGTCGCATAACAATTTTTAGCTGCCTTCAACAGTCGCCGGCCGCCCTGCGTCAAGGCATGTCGCATTACGTCCTGTTTTTCAACAGGTTGTTGGGTAAACACTTGCATAGATTCTGCCCGCCCAGTAGTTAAATCACAAACATGAAATAACTGAATACGAAGAAACAACGGACCGATCATGGACAAGAACACCGACAGGAACATTTTCATTAAGTTCGCAACCTCGTGGCGAAGTTAATCGAGATCACGACTTATCGTCCGATAGGTTCATGACTTTTACACACTTTTAGAAGTAGCAGTCGCAGCTGCATCCCGCTTTGGAGGCCGAGGAAATCCATGGCAGGAGGGCAAAAACAAGAACAATATGATTTTGTGACGGCCGGCTTTATATAAATTGCTGAACTCCACTTTTCGTCCCGAACAGTGATTTTTCCTCGCCATGCTATTTTACTCTGAATGAACTCGTGACTCGAGGTTTAGGAATTTCGCGCCGATTGAAGTTCGTCGGAAGCACGGAGGACGTTTCTTTGTCTAGGACGAGTGGTACGCGTGCCTCCATTGCGTGTAGCCCCACTGCGTTTCCAGCTGGCAAATCTCGGTGCTGACGATGTCCTTTAGGTCCACTAAACGTTGATGCACGTAGGCATCGCACTCATCTGGAAAGAAAAGCCAAATTGTCACAAAAACATTTTCTTCAGTGTCACTGTCATTCACCCGAAGGCTCATATTTAAAACCCCTTAGCCCTAGGTAAATAGATATTATGAGGAATTTCGGTCCCCACCAGTGAAACTTCACATTCATGCGTGAGCACTGAGCAGCCTGATGGTAATATTCTAATTTGTAAAACAATAAATACAAACTGATAACTGACACTGCCACTACTATGAATCAGCCCAGAAAAAAAGAGCATATTACCTAGGTACTTGACAAATGGGATACCAATTTCAAAGAAAGTAAGTCAATTTTTCAAAGCAGCCTGAATTAATATATGCAGGTTAGACTTAGAAGCATATGCCTACTATCTGAGGAGTTAACAAGCAGCCGTTTAATGAAGTGGGTTGCAGACTGCAGAGCCACCACAACAATTCTTGAAACTGCACATGAGTGACACATGTTCTGATTTCAGCAGCATGTTGTAATGACATTGGGTGGTAATGGCATACTAATAAATTTAGTAAGCACTGCTTGTTACATCAATGTTAAATAGGGAAGATCAATACATAATTCGGAAGCTGATGTCAAAGGTAGTGATGAAAGATCACTTCAAACAAGTTATGAAAATGTTGTGAAAGGGTTCCAAATATTTTACAAAAGGGCAGTGTCGAATGACTGCAGTGTCACAAAATTACATTAATGCTTGGGTATTAGAGGGGAAAATTCCTCTCCAAAAAAGGGATGAGGGTAGTATATTCTTGATCAGGTTAGCCCTGCCCCCACCCCCCCCAAAAAAAAAAATAAAGAACAGAAGAAGGAAAAATTGCACACTTTTCTGTACAATGGTAGAATCTGATGCGATCATGCAAGTAGATGCTCTTTCGTGAGTGGTAAATTGCTCTTGAAAGTTGGAGGTGGGAGTGGAAAAATATTTTCATTTGGATGTCTTGTTCCACCCAAATTGACAAATTTTGGGATTATGAAAATTTTGCCAAAGGGTTCCAACAAGTTAACAAAAGTGTTGTTTGAAATGAGTTATGTAAAGGCTGTGAAAAAGTTATGAAGAATTTGCAAAAGGGTTCCTTCAAAAGAGTTACGAAAAGGTTCCGAAAGAGTTACAATGAGTTAATGAAGAGATTTTATGAATGAGATATGAAAAAGTTGTCAGAGGGTCACAAATAATCTATGAGAAATTTGCTTTGAATGAATTATGAAAGGGCTGTGAAAGGGTTACAATAAGTTAATGAAAAGCCTCTTTCGAATGAGTCAGGAAAATGTCGCGAAAGGGTTGCAAATAATTTACGAAAGGGTTATTTTGAATGAGCTATGAAAATATTGCACATAGTTAAAAATAAGTTATGAAGGGTTACTGTGAATAAACTAATAAAAGGCTGAGAAAGGGTTACCATGAGTTTACGAAAGGGTTGTTTCGAATAAGTTATAAGAAGGCTGCGAAAGGGTTACGAAGGGCTTGCGTAAAGGCTTAGTGAAAGGGTTGTGACCTAACAAGTTGCGAAAAAATAACAGCAGCTTTAGGAAAAGAATATGAATTGATAAAGAAGTAACAAATTTTGTTGCAACAAGTGAGGATTGATGTCACACCAGTGGGGCTATAATTATACTCAGAAATAAAAAGCATCTCAGTCTAGTCAATGAAGACTGAAGAGCAGGCTGCACATAATTGGTGGCTTACCTCGACATCACTGGCCGACTCACCCCTTCCACTACATTGATCGGGCGATTAAACACCTTTTTCAAATAACGGAAACTCAGAAGAAACGTTTGAACCGCTGGAAATGCCGAGAAATTGGCGGCAATATACACTATACAGGGAGGACACACTGCGCAACAAATGTCTCATAAGCGCATGGAACGTATGCAGTTTCCAAAGCTCTTGATAATATCAAGAACATGTTTTTTTTTCTTCTAATCCCCATCTGGCCAAATGTCCGCCTTTACACGGGGCCTGCACCCTAACGTGCCTCGTGTACGACTAGGGTATTTGATGGTGACAAGGTTAAGCGAGGATGGATGTTTACTTTATCATCTTCCATCTGTGGGTAAACAAAGAAAGGATTTTCATGAAAAAAACATTTAATTGCATTATTTGGTAACTCATGCAACTGAAAAGTGGCCAAGATGAATGCATGACAACACATTTGAATATAAATAATGTTTTTTATCCAGATGGAAGCAACTTATGGCCAATTGGGGGGTGGCCACTTTGCCCCGGCCACTTTGCCCCGCGCATACCGTCCGAGACAAAAATATTCCAGTTTAGCTATTAGTGGGGTGAAAAACATTAAAATTGGTAGAATACATGTACGATAACCATGCAATGCATGGACAAGAACGCTTATAAAAATTCCAAACGGTTATGGAATAACATAACATTTAAAAATTGTAAACATAGTTGGTAACCTGGCAAGAAATGCTTTTCCGTGTTTCACAGAACAATGGTGATGGGCCTGAAACCCCGGTCTGGCTCATTCGAACGACCGTGAAGAGAAGTATAATTGGAAACCATAAATTGGAACTGACGCCAGCTATGAAGGGCTAAAACGATGGGTGGCCGCTTTGCCCCGGGTGGCCGCTTTGCCCCACTCTCCCCTACTTCAAACGGTTCAAACGGGCGCTAAACTCGAAATCAGCCCCAAAAACCACACTTGTAAGTGGATTGTGGAAGCAAATAAAACTCAAAAAAGTTAACCAAGGTCATCCATATTCGAACCAGGATAAGTGTAAAATTCATTAACTCGAGGTTACTGGAAGTTTCGTTGCAATATACTCCTTTTAGCGCGTCTTATTAGGAAAGCCCCAGAGGGATCCACCATTGACCCCATTTCCCCTATGCAGGCAGGTCCGAGGGTAGCAGGGCTGAGCTAGCCAGGTACCTCGTAGTTACTGATACGTCATCCGACGAATCGACTGCAACCATTATTTTGACAATCAGACGAAGGCTTGGATCAGTTTTGACGCGCTCGCTCATTTGAGGGGTAAAAGGGGACTAGAATCATATTGTCATGCTGATGTTCTAGCCCACAGCTTATTGACCTATAAGTAATAGGGACTAAGGACCTCTTGAAGCGATTCTGAATCTGACGTTGTATTTGTTGATGTTGCTGACGCCAACTCCCTGACATGATAGCTAAAAATAGCATACTCAGCATCGCCAAAAGTGGGGGGTCGACCCCCCGGTTCTGACGAGTGGGGGGGTCGCGACCCCCCCCCCGACCCCCCCGTCGGCGACGCCCCTGCCATGAACGGATTAAGCGATCTTTCACATTTTTGTTATTTATATGGATACTGTTGATGTGTTCCAGTTGATTATGTCCATGGCCGACAACCGCTCCTACATGCCGGTGCGAGTGTCCAAGCTGACTCACATTCTTCGCTCCAAAATTGGAAATCAACGAGACACAAGGTTCGTATAGCCGATGAGCAGGGGCGTCGCCACGGATTTTTGAGTGGGGGGGTCGGGTTTCTAGTCTTCACCCGATGGGTAGGGGTGTTTTTTTTGCCACACTTCCCAGTTTTGTGCGTGCGTATGTGCATGTGTGCGCGTGTAACAAAGCGGCGCGCAGCGCCGCGAAATTTGGTATAACCTATTAGGTAGGTATACCTACCTACATCACTTGCGTAAAAATTATCACTGGTCACTTAAGGTCAGGTCGCCATGTCAAGTTCAGTTATACGGTATACCTCTATCAAACTTTCCCCTCTCGCCATTCTTGTAGCTTTTCTCCCATAACTTCGAAATTTGGTACACTGTATACCTAATGTATGGGGTTATACGTGTCAGCAATTCATGATCCTGAGGATTTACATCTATGATCTGCAATGGAGGCAGGTCAAATACGTGACCTCATCATTAGAAAATAATGAGAAATTATAAAAAGCACGAATGCCTCCTGCTTTGAAAAAGTTCGTCAGAAACGCAAAATATCTTTGGAGCCGTGACAAATCAGCTCATCATTGCCAGGGACAGGGTGCAACTTATGGCGAGTGATGACTCGAAAGGTCATTAGTGGAAATGTCCATCGATGGCCACCAGCATTTTTTTTTCTACAACTTTTGACGAAGACGCGGTAGAGCGATGACAGCACCTGGAAGGTGTTCGTAGTTCAGCTCAACAACACAGATCCATTCATATGCAGCAGGAGGTCCTTTTTCGATCAGGACATAACGTTGACCTGAGGTCGTTTTAACGTTAATTCTGAATGGTCAAATTTTAACTCATGTGACGTGTCTCAAAGAGATAAACACAGTGGTGACAAGACAACATATGTAAGTACCATACAAACTCACGGAATCTAAAGTTATTGCAAAGCAAATGTTTCGGCAGAATCTGTCCAGTTAGCTGTTTGCCTTCTATGGGCAAAACATAGACCTGAGATGAAATCTGACCCGAAGCTAGCGAAAGAGCGTTGAAAGAGCTATCAAATATGTTTTCTGCTTCACTGTAGCCCTTCTATTGGTGGGCTCCCAGTCGCTAACTTATAACGTATACTAAAGTAACGCTGATGTATGCTTTCGACCCCTGATCGATCTAGAGGTTTGCGGAAAAAAGAGTATGCTGCCCGTGACGAGAGAAAGCCGATGATACCCATTTACAAGGTTTCGGGTCATCTCAGGACTCAGGTCATCGCCAATACGTAGGGAAACTCGGGACCTGCTAGAACTTTGCGAATGTAAGTTGTGATGGTTTTTCGAGGTTCTGATTACGAATGTTATCTTAGTTTTGAACGAAGATGATGACTCCATGCATTTGGGGTAGATCAGGTCAGGTCAGGTCAGATCGACCAGTACCTAATAGTGGATGACCACCACCCATTGCTTCCTAACATGTTATACATATGTATAAGCAACACAACTACTTCTTAAATGTTCAGATGGGCGCTAAGTTCAAAATCAGCTCCAAAAACTATCCTTTACCTAAATTAAAAGCATGTTATGAAAAAGTGAACCAAGGTCATCTTTATTCGAATCAGGGATATCGATTTATTTTTAAGTAGGTGATTAACACGAGCGCACCGGAAGTTTCGTTGCAATCGGCTCCTTTTGCGCGACTTTTTTGCGAAAGCCCGAGACGGTTTCATCTGACTCCCTTTCCCCTACATGTGCACTGTACAGCTAGTTGTGCCGATAGCCATGGGGCTGAGGCTAGTTTGTAGTTTTGTAGTTAGGTACTGATCCGACGAATCGACTGCGACCATTTTTTTAAACGATCAGACGAACGCTCGGGGCAGTTTTGGCGCGTCCAATCCTTTGAGGGATAAAAAGGTACTAGAATGGTGGCCACTGGCCACTTAAAAATATTGTTGTGCTGGTGTTCCCCGCCCACAGCTAATTGAACTTTAGGTAATTGGCTAATTGGCTTTAGGGAGCTCTTGAAGCGATTCTGAATCTGATGTACTTGGTGGTGTTGCTGACGCCTGCTTCACTGACATAAAAGCTAAAAAAGCATACTCAGCATCGCAAAAAGTGGGGGGGTCGACACCCCCAGTTTTCAAGAGTGGGGGGGGGGTCACGACCCCCCCGACCCCCCCGTCGGCGACGCCCCTGCCGATGAGCATAATATATGTTCCTCTATTGACCATCATCTTTTCTATTATCTTGATTATTTTGACTCCTTCATCAGCCCAAAAACATTGCAAATAAACTGACTTATCCGATAGTAGTTATCAAACGTCTGTCGAATGTCGACATAGCATCAGGCACATGCAAGGGGATACTGCTCAATCTTGGATGTGCCCGTTGCAGACTGGTAGTCTATGTCAGTGGAGTAAACTCCTTAGTTCTCATGGTGTCTCTTTTGTTGCAGACTGGTGGCCTGTGTCAGTGGTGAGCAGGGTCACCTGGCGGAGACTCTGGCCACCCTGAGGTTCGCTGTGCGTCTGCGAGGGGTCATCTGCGCACCCAAACAGGAGGTCATCGACGACCCGACGCTGCTGCTCTCCAAACTCAAGGTCAGCTCATATCACAGCAGTTATATTGCTGTTAGAGGAATGTCTTGTCCCCCTCATTGCCAGGAGTGTCACGCTCTTGCCCTCCTCTGTAGGTGTAGGCTTGTGTGTTGTCTAAGCATGCAGCATGCAGCTATTTTACTACTTCATCCAGGGTCTCCGCCACCAGGGAGGGGGTTCGCGGAGGTCTAGCCCCCCCCCAATAATTTCACTTCCCCTAATGCATCCTAGTGTAGGCGGGTGTGCATTTTTTATCGCCTTCCAATTCTGAAACCTTGGCGGAGCCCCTAATTTGACTCAACATAAATTTATATCGCCTATTCGCGGACAAAAGTAATTCATAACGTCAAATTAATAATCGCTATTCTTCTTGTCAATTTTTTGTTTGTTTGTTTTGTTTTTTTGTTTTGTTGGGTTAGGCCCTTTCGGTCCAATGAGACCATTTCAGAGCCGGGAGGATGACAGGATATAGGGGGAGACATTGGTCTGGGCAGGCACCCTAGTGAGTCGCCGGGGCTGAGCCCGTCCAGAGGACAGGCCACCCAGCCCCAAGGCACTCACTGCACGCCGGGTGCAGACTGCACCCGGCTACGGGGTGCGCTCCCTCGGGAGCAGCGGTGCCGCTCCAAGGGAGCAGCCCGCATGAGATAAAGTTGCCTGTCCAGCCCGGAGGGGGGTGCGGCGTGGAGGAGAAGGATTTCAGTATCCTGAGGATAGAAGCACGGAACGGGTGTCTTGTCAATTTGCCGTTGAAATGTTCTTGCTCGATGGGAGGTTCAGGTGCCACGGTATGTATGTAGAGAACTGTTGGTAGGTACTTGGGGCATTCCACGATAGATCGTACCACTTTTTTCCAATTTGACACCCTCATCTCTCGGAATTTGACGAGAATTGGTCTCAGGGGTAATCAGGGGCTCTGAATCCACCTGTAACAATTTCAGGATTATCAGATAAGTATTTTTTGAGTTATGGTGTATAACATTTTTTGGATCTTGCTTTGCAGCGCTAAGTTTGGCGGGCTGTAACTCTAAGACGGATTATTCAAATGCCAAATGTTATATAACATTGAACTTGCAATGAAACAGAGATTAATATGTATTTTTGAAATTTCGAAAAATATGCTTTTTTGATAAATGACATATCGAGTTTTCTTTCATTTGTATTTTTTGGACTTTGGGACCAAATTTTTTGGAATTTTTATTTCTTTAAAAAAATATTTGGCTAATTGTTAAGAAGTATGCAAAAAATTAGGAAGGTGTTCTTTCAATAAATGTATTTATTTTACGTCACGATAACGGTTTCGAATAGTGATTTCGGGAGGGGAGCTTACGAATGGCGTGGTAAAGCTGCCTAGTGACATCACGGGTTACTGAAACTTCAATTCAAGTCTGAGTCATCTGAAAAAAGTGAAAAGAGGGTTCATTCAACCCTCTTTCCTATAAGCGCGAGGGTGAAAAAGGCCGTTTGGTTCTGACATTGTTTTGGACGCCAATGACCATAGCTGTCCGAGATGAAAGTTACAGGACGCATACATGGTGTCCTCAAGAGGTCTCACAACTTGTATATCTGGGAATTTTTCAAGGTTACTTGAGGCACGTCACTAGGGTCGTACGAGTTTTTCGTCAATAACTCCCGATCAAATGGAGCTAGAGAGTCGGGAAAGCCACCAATGGACTCGGGAAGACCTTCCGAATCGAATGATATGCCATATGATACCCTTTGCCCAGCTTCGTGACTTGAGGGGCTCTGACCTGACCTTGACCCGAGGTCAACTACTTAAGTTGACCTCACCCTAGCAAAAAGTATACCATTCGATGCACCTGAGCTAGGCGAACACAATGATGCCAAAATCGCGGCTCTGCGGCCATTTTTTGCGAAGTTATTTACTAAAAACCGAAGCCGTAACTTCAGTCACGTGACCTGAACTCAGACGCCACCGGTTAACCTGAGACCTTAAAATCGGGTACCAATCGCTGCGACTTGTAACGGCACATACGCTCGTTTTTTCCGCGAGGCTCTAGCTCTATTAGAAGCGAAACGGCGTGCTGGGGTCGAATCAACCCCTCCGAAACCCATTTTGTTTGCGGGAAAATGAGGAACTTATAGAAAGAACACCTTTCTAATTTTTTGCATGTCGATTTGCAATGACATGAAGATTATTTTGAAAAAATAAAAATGTGAAAAATTTTGGTCCCAAAAGTCATTAGAGGCAAATAAAAAAAGATTAAGGTTTTTGCTCAACAATGAACTTTTTTCTTTGGAATTTTCAAATAGTAATATTAATTTTTGATTCATCGCAAGCTTAGTGTTGTTTACTTTGTGTTGGTTGCTTAACCCGTTCTTGAGTTATAGGCCATCAAACTCACCGTTACATACCGAAGTTAAAAAAATGTAATGCAATATAACTCAAAAAGTTTTGATCTGAGAAGTCTGATATTTTGCCAGGCGTCTTTGGGGCCTATGATTACCCCTAGGACCGATTTTCATTAAAATCTGAGAGATGAGGGTGACGGGCCTGGTACGATCTATCGTGGAATGCCCCACTTGGTACTGATCTGCCTTGGTGCAATAATAATTTAAACGATTTTTTTTTTGTAGGTTTTGCAAAGCCAAGAGGATATGAGGACGAGGTGCCTACTATTTACCGTGGACCGCTCATTTTTAGAAGAGCGCCAGCTCCCAATATAAAATAACTTAAATGCACAAGTTCAGACTCAGTCTCGCCTCACCCCAATAGCATGTGTCCCTTTATCGGCGTAAGCGGCTACCACAGCGCTCGTAGCACCCCTTGTTGGAACCAAAGCTCACCAGCCTATCTCACAGATGTCGCTGAGGGCTCCTATCCGGGTCAGTCGGCGGTCGCGGCGGCTGTCGGGCCGGCCGAAAATCATTTCGAACAGCACGCACGTTCAGCGACTCAGAGCAGCGGGCCGACTCGGACATCTCTGTTATCGCACCATCGTGGGTCTGTCGGCCCTGGTTCGATCCGGGCCCGGTCGGTATGCCGTCGGCTCGCGGTCCTCGGCGGGTGAGGAGAACGCCGCCTCCTCACGGCGCGGCGGCGGCGCGGTCACCGGCGGCTGACACGCACCAACACACGCTGACCGCAGGCATGTGCCAGCCATGTTCGTCCGCTAGTTCTCGAGAAAGTGGAATCGGGACGCCTGGCTATTGTTATTGAATTAAACGATGAAGAATTGATGCAAGGTAGGTATGAATACGCATATCAGGCGGGTGCAAAAACCGCTGGATAATAAAGCATTAAAGCGATTCGAACTTCTGGCCACATCGAACCTGAGCTCCAGGTGCATCCAAACATTTCGTTTGCCGCACCTATATTACCATGGCATTTTAAGATTTTTTTGAAAATGTTTCGGAATGACAGCACTGAAAAAGGCCGCTGAATTTAGGGTCCGATGGGCGAATGAAGCTTTTTCAAACAGATGCTTGTTAACGGACGAGGACATAAAAATCATGAGACAGTTTATTGGATGAATCAACGACCAACGTTGAAACGAGCACAAATACCAAAGGAGTCAGAAAAGGCTACTGGTAAGACCGATGAATGATCATACGGATTTATAAAATGTTGGTATTGTGCATGCTCTGTATCCGGTGACCTACACCATTTAGTGGAATAATCTCCAACCTCTGTCCACCTGGTCGCTCTGTGCTGACCTAGGCTCTGAAATATCTAACCGCTGACCACACAAACCACCGGCTGATGACTACACCCTGACCACAGCGACCAATGAGTCTAAATTTGCTCCTTGGCTCACGAGTTCGGTCCGATTTCAGTCGGACCGAACTCGTCTTTTTCAGCTGAAGCCGGACTGCCCACCGCCCAATATAGGATCTGAGGGCATTTTTGGACCAAATTGAGGACCCAAGGTGGACTAATGCCCCGCAGCTAGTTATTTATAATTTGTACACTTGCATGGGCACTGGGCGGTCCGCCCGTGGATCTGCCGGCCCGTGCTCGACTGCGAGCTCAGCGCCCAGCTACAACAGGACTGATCCGAGCTCAGCCGAGCCAGCGGCCGAGCTGTGCTGATGGTAGCCACCGATAGCGCGGCGGGCACGCGAGCTCCGGTACTAAGCTCAGCCGCTGATCATCCCCGGAGTCAGAGTCAGAGTCAGAGTCAGAGTCAGAGCTGTAATGGCCACCGATAGCGCGCGGGCACGCGAGCTCCGGTACCGGGCTCAGCCGCTGATCATCCCCGGAGTCAGAGTCAGAGTCAGAGTCAGAGTCAGAGTCAGAGTCAGAGCTGTATGGCCACCGATAGCGCGGCGGGCATGCGAGCTCCGGCACCGAGCTCAGCCGCTGATCATCTCTGGAGTCAGAGTCAGAGTCAGAGTCAGAGCTGTAACGGCCACCGATAGCGCAGCAGGCGGCGCCAGCGCGCGAGATGCGGCACCGAGCTTAGCCGCTGCTCATCTCCGAAGCTAGAACTGAAGCCATGGACAGAGCCGGAGCCGGAGTCACAGGCAAAACCAGAGCACAAACTACTGAGTCGGAGACTGAGCCAAAACCTGTCTCCAGTTCTAGCTGGTCTTGACACAATGCCCAAATGACTTGTGGGATCACGCGAGGCTAATTATTTTGTTTTCAACATGTGCGTCAGGTGTTTGTTTCTGCAGACAGCCAGTCATCGTGGCAGTTACTGCCACTGGTCTACGCTTCCACCATGTAAGCCCCACCCTTACCGGCATTCCAGAAGCTATCCCCTTTTTTGCTTTGGACGGCATTATTTAATGCTGTCAACTGAACGTCACGCCAATTTGCGCGTGTCACTCACCTGTCACCAATGAAGAGCCTTATCAAGCCCGGGCTGGCTTGTTAGCCTGCACCCATTCACTGTTAGTAAACGTTCACATCGGGCTAAGTTGGCTGTGGCGAGTCATGCTACACATAGGCGGAATGTGAGCTACATTTCGGTTTAGCAATCCAGCTTCTCTGAAATGTGAGGAATCGAACCACTTTTTAGATGCTGCTCTGAAAAAAAAATAGTATATGCTTTCAACCGCCTTTTTGTAGGTGGATACAATCTAATCCTCTAAGACTGATATATTCATGCATGAAAGTATGTACCTTACAATACATGGCATGGCGCTTACTCCATCTTGTCCAGCCATGGACCCTCGCCGGCTGGCGGCTCAGCACTCAAAATGACACACTTGATTTCATAACTGCTCTGGCCGTGTGCAAGACCCATCGAAGGCCTAGTTTTCCTAACAAAAGCTGACTTGCCTCCTGGTTACCTGAAGAAAAATGTCATATCATGCAAGCTTTGCTCAGTTTGCCGTGTGTGACTGCATTCAAAGACCAGTAGTTGGCAATTAAAGCCCGATTATTGGGTGAACAAAGGCACATAAAGCGTTCTTTCGGTCCGGTCGGTGCGCGGTGGCCCACCTACCTCGCTAGCCGTTTTTCCGGACCGGCAGACGGCTGAAACTGAGCTGCCCTGCAACCGGGCCAGCTGCAGCGGCGGCAGCCCCACGTTTTCATTAGGACTGACACTCGCAGGCCGCTTGCAAAAGAGGAACATGATTTGCAGCACTAAAACCAAAATAATGTAACATGTCAGCTGGAATCCGATCGATCGGAAAAAGGCTGAGGTCTCAATCAGGCAGGTAGGCGGTCGGTGGAGGGAATTTCCGGGACTGCGCCCGCTGAGTTCGGACAGTGACGGACGGGGGAGACCGTCGCGCTCCGTCCCGGGCCGGACAATTCACTGCACTTTGTCCCACTCTGGGGCCATGACTGGTTGGAGAACGTAGTCATCAACGGCAGTTCCTAGCAACGTTCCGTGATCTCGGACTGGATGCTCGGCTTGAAGCTCACGTGTTGAAGGCTGGGAGAGCGTTTATGGGTTGCCCTGGGCCTGCATAGTGGTTACTTCTTGCCCCTCAGAAAACTAGCGATGATAGGTATAAGATAACTTTAGAGTCAGTATGGCGGTGCTTTCTTGAGCCGAATCGCTCACTCGCTGGTGACCTATGGAATTATGAATGAGTATGAGTATTCCATGGGTACTCTGCTCTCTGCCAAATTATAGGTTAGTTATATGTACTGTAGCAATTGTTTCAGCAAAAGACTTATCGTCAAATTATAAATTAATGTATTGAGTTGATCAATGGTGGTCTAAGCAATGTTCTGGCGTCTGCAGAAAAAAACTCGCGTGCCTGTGACCTATCCTGTGACTTGTGAGCCAGCCTGTTACCCATCCTGTAGCCCAGCCGGTGGCCCATCCTGTACCCCATCCTGCAGTCCAACTCGTGGCCCATCCTGCTCCCCATCCTATAACCCATCCTCTGAATCTTCCTATAATCCGTCCTGTGCCCTGTCCCATGTAAACCCTCCCATCCTGTCCTGCCGTCTACAGAAGGACCTGACTTGCCTGTGATCTACCTGTGGCTCATTCTGCAGCCCACTCTCTGAACTATCCTCCAAGCTATCCTGTGCCCCATCCTGTGACCCTTCTCGTCCTGTCCTGTCGTCCACAGAAGGACCTGACGTGCCTGTGATCTGCCCGTGGCCTGCATGCTCTAACCGGTCCTGTGATCAGTCCTGTGCCCCGTCCTGTGACCCTTACCGTCCTGTCCTGTGCCCTGTCATATGACCCTTCCCGCCCTGTCCTGTCGTCCACAGAAGGACTTGACGTGCCTGTGATCTACCCGTGGCCCATGCTCTGAACCGTCCTGTGACCTCTCCTGTGGCCCTTTCCATCTTGTTTTACCGTCCACAGAAGGACCTGACGTGCTTGCGTCAGGAGCTGGACATGCAGGATATGATGGCTCGCAGGGCGCCCAAGATGCACGGTGACCTCTCGCACCAGGAGCGGGCTCTGGTGCAGGACCAGGTGGAGCTCTACCTGGACGGAAAACTCGAGCAGCTCCAGGTCGTCAGCGTCAAACAGATCGAGGTGCGTCAGTGGCAGAGCTCGAACCATGGGCTGAATGTTCATTGTTCCTGTATTGCTCAGCGTAAAACTTGACACAAAATTGTCGTCTTGAGTTCGGTCAGGCCGAGTTTGTTGGTTGACAGCTTTGTTTAACTCTAGCAAGATTGTGTACCATGCACATTTTTATACAAATGTTTATCTCCAAAATGCCTTGCTTACTACCTGAGTGTCAATTTGTGAGGACTTAGGACACATAATTTTCTTCGATAAAGATAGGTAGGTATGTTCGGTGCTACGCATCCCTCAATGGACGGGCTGTCTCGGCCAGGCGTGAACAATTTCAACGGCTGAGCCCGTGCATCGCGTCACCACTGACCACATAGCTCACTCAGCTGCGTGACCGGGTCAAACGAGGCCCCATTTTTGCAATCAATGCTGCTAATGAGGGCCGGCAAACAGTCTATCGGCACGACATGAGCGGGCTGCACCTTAGTTCTTGGCACCGTTCGTACGGTACGGTGGCGGCAGTCGGACTGGAATGCCGCTAAAAAGTCGTGTACGGGCAGGTCTTTAATCCTAATTAGTAGAGCCCGCATCCACGCTACGCTGACCGATTAAATAGCGCTCCAATGTTACGTGGTAAAACAACTGTTAGGGGTTGTAGAACTGCATAGCAAACATATGGGCAGCGGTTTTCGAAGCCGAGACAATTTAGTGGGGAGTGTTTAGCGTCTGATTAGTAATTTTATTCGCATAGTGACTGTAGATTAGTTCATGTCTTGGGAGCTTCCACTTGGATTGATGGTGGAAGAGCACGTAACCACAAATTGGCCGTATTTCTGTTCTTCGCCGTGCCTGCCATTATTTGTCTAGCATGCGATTCGCCTCATTAGGGGCATTATGACGGGCCTTTTGCGCCATTCACAGGCCGTGCTCGAAGCGGTGAAGACGACCCAGGCGCGCCGCGAGACGACTCTCCGCGAGCAGCTGACTGCCGAGCTACAGCAGCAGATGCAGCAGCAGCTGCAGCAGCTGCAGCAGCAGCTAACGGCTGGCCCGCAGCCGGTGGCGGCCTCCGACCCGCGGCCCAGCGTGCCCGCCCACGGGAGGGAGCGCGGCAGCAAGCGGCGGCCGAGCCGGGGCCGCGTCGGCCGCGGCGAGACCGACGACGATCGCAGCACGCCCGGCGACCGCAGCCGACGCGACGAGCGCACGCCCGGCGCTGCCTCTGCCGACCAGAGCGGGCCCGGGTTCGGGGTCGGCGTGGCCGACGGCCGGCCGAACGCAGCCGCCGTGGCCATGTCGAGCCGTGGCCGGGGGAGGGGTGCGGGCGGCCGGGCGGCGGCCAGCTCCTCTCCACCAGCCAGCGTGGCCGAGGAGCCCGTCGAGGAGGCCGAGGTACCCCCGCCGACCGACACGGCGCCGGCCACCAGCCAGGAGGCGCTCCGCCAGCTGCTGGAGGCGGACGGCGGTCAGCTGCAGGCGGAGCTGGACCGCGCGCAGGGCGCCGTCGCAGAGCGTCACCAGCTGTACGCGGCGGCGTCCCGGCAGCTGTGCGAGCTGCGCTGCCAGCACAGCAGCCTGATGGCCGAGCTGCAGCTGCTGCAGGCCGAGAGACACGTCCAGGGCGAGCGCTACGACGCCGAGGATAACCTGGTGCTGAGCGCTGAGGAGCGGCAGCTGACGGGCCGGCTGCGGCGGCTGTCCGCGCAGCTGGCCGACTGCCAGGACAGCCAGCTGACGCTGCGCCGGGAGCTGGTTGAGGCGCAGCGGCAGCTGACCGAGCGGCGCGCCGCGCTGGCCGCAGCGCTGGCCGACTTCCGTCTGCGCCACAACGTGGTGCCGGAGGAGCAGGGCGCGGCGGGAGCGGCCAGGGTCTCCAGTGACACGGCCGCCTCGGCTGGAGTGCAGCACCCACCCGGAGCTGAGCCCGGCGCACCCGGTATCTACTACACCGCCCAGAAACGAGCGCGCGCCCAGCTACGGCGCTCGCGCTGCGCAAAGTAACCGATACTCACCCCGTTTGGATTAACAGCTGCTACACTGGAAAATTTGTCCGTCTCCTTCTGTCCTTTTGTCCCTCAAGTGTAGCATGCAGTCAATCACTCTTCATCCGCTCAACTTGCTAATCTATCTGAAGTGGCCCGTTTCATCAATCTCGTGGTAAGCATTTGTAAATGCCTGTTTGGCTGGCCCCTTATGTCCGAGAGGAATCCGTCAGACATGACAGCCGTGTCCTCTTGCGGGCAGCGGTAGCTTCTGATGGATCTGATACCACTAACTAGCCTCTCAGAATACCGATATACGAGCGATAAACTCCTATCGAAATCGACTACTGAGTCGTGTAACCACCGAGCCTCTAATACATGCCAACGAAGACGTGGCCATTTTACGACATTCCCGGTGACATCAGCGGCGAGCATGCAGGATTCAGCGACAGCCGGTGATCACATCTCAATCACGGCTCCCGGACAGGGCTCGGCTCGCCGCAGTACTGCCGGCGGCCGCGGCCCGCGCTGGGCAGACGCTCCTCTAACCGGCCTCCTCCGCCCCAGTCGGCTCAATCACACTCCTAATCACCGCCACATGCAAATTGAGCCATTGAATCAATCAGTGCGCCCGGCTAATGGGAATTAATACGTGCGGCATTCATCATACGTCTTCGGTCTTTGTTCTCGGCCGACTGCCGGCGCGGTCGTGCACTCCATTTCGCGGCGGCTGCCAGTTGTGGCTGATTAATAAAGGTTCGATGTGAACCGGCCCTCTACTCAGTAATCGTAGCGCCCCGATAGAAAGACAGCCGGTGAGCAATTGCGCATGGATTGAGACAGGCAAGGAACATGACAGAAGGCATACGAAGTTTTAAGTCAGAAAAGTTTCCAAACGGAAAGATAATGAGAAAGGATGTGTGTTTGTGTCCTTGATGGTATGACAATAACGTTATGAAGGATATAGAGCTTAGATCTATTGATTTTTCTGTCCTGTGGTTAACAGCTATGGAATGTTTGGGGGAGGAAAGGAGAAAGGTCCAAAGAGCTCTAAACTGCAATTTACAATGAGAGGGGGTTCCGGACACAATATCGAAAAGCAAAATATCGAATAGCAAAATATCGAAGACAAATTATCGAAGTGGCAGAATATCGAAAGCAAAATATCGAATGCGCAAAATATCGAAATCGCAAAATATCGAACCGCAAAATATCGACATCGCAAAATATCGACATCGCAAAATATCGAATTGCATAATATCGAATTGCAAAATATCGAACTAGCAAAATATCGAATAGCATAATATCGAAATACAAAAAATATCAGAGTTTTCCAAGTCTGTCATGGACCCGCTGATTGCTCTTTGAGGCCTACAGATAACAGAGGGCCCGATGAGTTCGACAGAGCTCCAAGGAGTCCGCAGAGGGCCATTTCAAGTCGATATTTTACCTTTTCGACACTTTGCGTTCGTTATTTTGTCTTTTCGATATTTTGCGTTCGATATTTTGCCTTTTCCATATTCTGCGTTCGATATTCTGCCTTTTCGATATTTTGCGTTCGATATTTTGTCTGTTCGATATTTTGCGTTCGATATTTTGTCTTTTTGATATTCTTCGTTCGATATTTTACCTTTTCGATATTTTGTCTTTCGATATTTTGTCTTTCAATATTTTGTCTTTCGATATTTTGTCTTTCGATATTTTGTCTTTCAATATTTTGTCTTTCGATATTTTGTCTTTCGATATTTTGCGTTTCGATAGTTTGCGTTTCGATATTTTGCTTTCGATATTATGCTATTCGATATTTTGCTATTTCGATATTTCGCAATTCGATATTTTGCGATTCGAAATTTTGCGATTTCGATTTTTTGCGATTTCGATATTTTGCAATTCGATATTTTGCGATTTCGATATTTTGCAATTTCGATAATTTGCGACTTCGATATTTTGCTTTCGATAATTTGCGTTCGATATTTTGCGCTTCGATATTTTGCGTTTCGATATTTTGTCATGGAAGCGTGCATCTTATAGCAACGTGTCCTGGGATTCGGTGTTGTGTCCATGAGTCCGTTGGTGTGTCCAGGGGTCCGGTGCTGTGTCCGGGAGACCGCAGTGTGTCCGTATAGACTCTGCAGTGTGTCCAGGAGCCCGCTGTTGTATCCAGGGGTCCGCTATTGTATCCATAAGACCGCGGTGTGTCCGGGAGGCCGGCGGCGCGGTCCGGGCGGCTCGTTAGAGGCTGTTCGGTGAGCGATGACCGTAGCCGGCGCAATCTCCATTCTTCACACCTTATTATTAGTGCCGGACCTGTTTGCTTTCCAATAGTGGCCGCGCGCCGACACTAATTGTTAGCCGGCCTCTCCAAATTCGTAGATGGCTGTTTAGGGGTGTAGCCATAATTGGATTCGTATGCAAATTTCCTTCCGCCGCGGTTTCTGGGAGGAAAACGAGGCCGACTCGGCCCGAGGCCAGGCATGCGCGGAGATTGGATCTGCGGGGGAACAGTATCCACCAGCACGTCTACAGAGCAGCTTCGGCTTACACAGATAGGCTCAGTGTATACCACCACGGAGTTCAGCGCAATCTACACAAAATTCCAGCAGATGGCCATTTGTTGAGACTGACAGGAATTTGACAAAGCGCCTTTATGCTAAGGATATTAAGCGCTTAGCACAGCAGTTCATGTGACTAAAGCATGACCATGGAGACATTCGGCTACTAAAAAATAATAGCATTAAGTAGGCTTGAGATCTTCATCTAAAGTATAACAAAGTCCTCTAAGTTATACAGTACCGCGGGTGTTTCCAAAATTAGTCGGCCCCGTCTGTACCAGGCCTGTTCGTCCCTGTGAGCCCGTCAGTATACCAGCCCGGGGGACCGTCTCGTCCCCGGTATGTGCGCTGGGGTCGTCGCCGGGCCGGTCGGCGGGTTTTTGCTGACCGGCCGGCCGGCTGCTCCATGTGGCTCGTCCACCTGGCCGTGTCACCGCTCTGGAACGGACGCGGACGGGTTACGGGCGCGCCACGCTGGCTGGACGGACGGCCACCAGCGACGACCCGCGGCTCGGACCGAGGGCGGCGGTCAGCGGATCGTCGGCTGCAGTCGGTGCAGTGCCGGGTGGTTCTGCTGCTGCTGATGCTGCTGCTGCGAGCGCTACTAACTTTCCTATTGCCTGCGCTGCTACTGATGCACTGCTGTATGGCTGCATGTCCTCATTGCTTTGCTTATATATAATTGAACTATCTGCCTTCCTCTGCTGAAAGATGAGTCAAAACTGTAATTACACTCGAAGGAATAAAATCGGTCCAAAATTGGGATCAGCATTAGCTCCTGCGCTGTTGATCTCGTACTAAGAGCTGGGATTAAACAATATGCTCAATAGGCTATCTCCATCCATATTCTGCTTAACTGGTCTGGGTCATTCGCTCCATCTGAAAGATTTACGTAAAATATATCAGAGTAGTTACTGCAAAAAAATTGTTTTGCATCGACAGGTATATTGGTTATATTTTCCTTTTCACATTTTACGCGGACATATTAACGCATAACACGCGTTCAGCAGAGGCTACCACATGCAAATACCCGTGCACCTTGTTTCGGCGGGGTCAGTAAAAAGTGCAGCGGGTGGCCACGACGCCGCATTACACGCTCGAACGCCTATTGAAATATGCCCGCTAGTAATGGCTTGTAACGAGGTGTTTGGCCGTGGCCGGCAGGCCGGCGGCCCAGCCTTCATTGTGCTACAGATTATACGGCGAACGTGAGGAGCGGTGTTTACGGCGTCGAAACACCGAGTCGAACAAACCCTGCCCGCTACAAATCCTTTTTATGTTCTGTTAAAGAAGTATTAATTGGAATTTAGGTACAAAGGGAATTATGACAAGCGCATAAGTAATTGCCATCGGTGATCCTTTGAGGATGAGAGCCCATTGTGTCAGTTTAGTTTATGACCCGGCGGGAGAAAATTATCGGTTGAGGGAGATATCTATCGGTGTGGCGGCGGCCTCAGCACTAAACCATTCTATTCAAATAGGAGGAGCAGTTAGCGCCGGCAAGACCGCTTATCAGCGTGTCCAAACAGGGGTAGGGGCGGGGAAGGGAGGGAGGGGAGCGGGTCAACTATGCCGAGGTCAGAGCGTCGGCGGAGGCGGGGGCCATGTCAGTCTGGGGGTGGGAGGGGAAACAGGGGGATCATCTGTGCACTGAGAATGCTGCAGTGCGGATGAAGCGAAAACTGTCCAAAAATTTCACGCATTGGTATATTAACGGCTGCAATTAGTGCAGGATGGAGCTACTAGGCTGAAATTATCACTAAATCTGTCAGAGCGCAATCAGAAAATACCCCCAAACTGAGTAGAGTCGCCAAAGCCGTCACTGTGAAATATGTCCGATGTTATGGTTACGATTAGGTAGGTAAATGGTTACGGCGAACTCATCCGATATTGGACTTATTCATTTCCGATCAAGAAACGCCGAGAAAACCTTCTTATGAGTTTGAAGTGCATGTCGACTGTTCAATGCCAGGTGTGTCTAAGGAGCTCTGGAAGTAATTGAATGCTGAGTGCGTTTGTCCACAGTTGAATTTGCTTTCTTATTTTTTGAATTTATTTCACACAAAATATATTTCACATATCTGTTAGAGGGCTAAGAGTGACTTCTCAGCCTGCTGGCTGCCGCTGCTGGGTGCTAGCTGCCCCTGCTGAGCGCGGCTGCCGTCCGCCGCCGAGCCGCTGTGGTCCGGGTCGTGGGCCGCCCGCGGCGGCGCTCGTTGGAGGCCGCTGATTGGTCGCCTCGGGGCGGCCCCGACCCGGCGGTGGGTCGGTAGCAAACTACGCGTGACATTCTGGAGTCTGATGACGTGTGGGGTGGCGGGCGGCGGCGCGGACGTGTCCTCACCGTGTTTGCTAATACAGTGTTGGCAATGGCCACCACCTGTGACGCTGGCTGGAGAATCCACCGACAGGCACGTCTACATACCTAAAAAGGTGTCTGGGCCCGCCTGACCTATGTCAATTGATGATTCCGTCACATATCTCGATATCATTTGTTCTCATCGCCATTTTTGTATTTTAATTTTGCAAGCATATCGGTTACGACTGGTTCCCGTTTGAAACGCAAATGTGCTTATCAGAACCTTCAATGTTTCTACATTGACTCTGATGATATTTATTCTGATGACTTAAATCTGTCAAGTTTGAAGTTTGCTTACTAAGTTACGAATTTTGCCAGGTTAAAAGTAAAGGCTGTCAGCTGCTGTGAGCGGTAAGTGGGAGTGAAAGCCGTTGAGATATCGCCAGCGCGTGGCGGTGTGATATTAATCATGGCTCAATAGAGTAAAATTCTCACCAATTATCAAATAAATTTAATGTAATTACGCTCGGCGCCGGTCGCCGGACGAAAATGAACAGCGCAACACCCGGTGCACGGGGCAGCTTCTGTCACTGTTCTGTGCTGTCGCTCTGGCTAAGGTCCCTGTTCACGTGAGCGCTGCTGTGGCATAACAGCATCTTTTATCAGCCATGGCACGATTCTGTTCCCACTGTCGGACGGCCCAGAGATATTATCTGTTCTCTGACGTCGGGCCGGCTATACCGACAGACAGTAGCGTCTCTCCCTAACCGTTACCGTCCCCCGCTCGTTATTGGCCCCTCCCCCTCCCTATTGTCTCCGTTCTCGCCTCTGTCCTCTCCTTCACTACTATCCACTTCCATAGCTGCCGCTGCCCGCTCCTTTAGCTGCTGTCGCCTGTTCTCTCCCTCGCTGCGCCGTCGTGTTGGCTACCGCCTACCGGGGCCGGGGTCGGCGGTGTAACGATGCCGTCATGCCCAGATCCGCCTGGCGCCATCAGATACCAGGACAAGGGAAACAAACACCACGCCACGGTCACCACAAACACAGTGAAACGGGCAGACAGTGGCCGCTGCTATAGTGTAGCTCGGCGCCGCTGTTGGGCTGTGAATATGGACTGTCGGTGAGGTTCTGTTCCATAGCCTTACAGCGAGTGGACAGCCGGTGTAGATTGGTGCCGCGGCTAGACAGTGAATAGACAGCTAGTGAAGTTCGGCACTTAAACTATGCTCTCCGTGTTGCCCGGCAACATAGCCCAGTTTCTTACGTTTTAACCCTATTCCTGGCGGGCTCCGCCGGGACAAGAAACTGGCGGGGGGGGCCGATTCGGCCCCCCCCCTGAGATCTCGAGAACGAAGCAAGATAGCGACAAGCGGTAAACGGCATCGGATACGCACGGCCAAGATCTACAATTTTTACAAAGGTCATTTTCAGGTCAGGTCAAAGATGACGTCACAGGGGTCGAAAAAGTCAAAATGGCGGCACTAGATATGGAGAGAGTTTTTCTCGAATAACTTTCGAATTAGTCAAGATAGGAACAAACTAAGGGCATCATCGTGATCCTCTCGTCAATCCGCATCGAATGATATATATGTTGACCTCGAAAGGTCAAGGTCAAAGGTTGACCTCAGGTCACGTGACCTCGAGGTCATCATGTATATCATTCGATGCGTCTTGACGAGCTGAACACAATGAGACCATCCACGCGTCTGTATCTTGTTCCTGTACGGAGTTATTGGCCAAAAACCTTTGGTGACCTTTGATGACGTCACATGACCTCACAGCTGCCCAACAGCAAAACAGACCTCAAGGTAGTGAAGGTTGATCGTATAGGAAGTCATGTATGGTATATGGGGCCATTCCGACCCGTTTTAGTGGTAAAAACAGGGAGTTGATTTTTCCCCCATTGACTTATAATGGGGAGGTCGCGAAATTGACCTGACCTTAGGTCACCGATATCAAAATTCCGAGATATACAAATTGCACATACTGGTACCCTAACTAAACCCTGAAGAGAAGAAATTGATCGGTCAAAAACTCTAGCTCTGGCGTGATTGCAAACTTTTCTGAGGTAGCGTCACCAAACCGCCTCTGGTGACCTGACCTGAGGTCAGATCAACTCAAAATTTTCAGACATGTTGCGTAGAAGCCTTTTAGGAAAAGTCAGAAAATTTGAGCTTCCTAGCTCAACGCGTTTGGGAGATATAACCAAAAAACCTCAGGGGGGGGGGGCTCCTGAGGCCCCCCCCCGCCAGGAATAGGGTTAACTTGGCAGTATTACAAGTGTGAGCTCGTTTTGTGCTCTCACAAAACCACTGCGGTAGGAGTTGTGTGTAGCTTGGTAGGAGTTTTCTCACAGCTCCCTCTCAGCATCTACCACTGATGTGCTCCCATGTAACCACCTTAGTGCGTATGCCCGGAGCCAAGAGCTGTTGCTGGCGCTAGTGCCGCTGGGTCCGATCTGCTGGGCGGCCGGGTCCGGCCCGTTCTGGTGGAAGTCGGGCGGCGGCGGCGGCGGCGGCGGCGGCCCTCCAGCTGTCGCGGCCAGGAATGTCGTGTTAACACTGCTCCGGCATGTGAACGGGCTCCACTCGACGCGCCGCCATCGGTTATAAATTAATGGCGGCCAACCCTTCTGGCGACCGGCCGCGCCGCCGTGAGAGAACAGATTGGAATGGGAGACAGGCGACCCGCGCTGCCACCGGACGACCGGACGGTGGCATCACTGACGGTCACCGCTGGCCTGTGATGTCACCGATGGTCGCTACTGATATGTGACGTCATATTCACTGCCGATCTGTGACGTCATGGACAGTCCCCCCAGCCCCGTAACGTCACCAATAGTCGCTGCTGATCTGTGACGTCATATTCACTGCTGACCTGTGGTGTCGCTGACGTCGGGTCACTAACTAGAACGGTGGTGAACCGATGTGACCCATGATTTATTCGAAAGAGTTAATAGTGGCTAATAACATTAGATTAGGCATTATTAAATTTGTTAACATGGCAAAGGAATGGGGATGATATGTGGGATCCTTTTTTTGTCAGGAATGACCCTAATAATGGGTCCAGTTGTAAGCGGCGAGCCGTTGGTAACCGTTCCGTCGTTTGTTCCTTGTGACTCACTCGGCTCGGTTCATGAGTGAGGCTCCTTATTATGTGGCTGTCACAACTGGGTTTAGTCGTGTTTTATGGGATTTCAGATTTCGGCGCATGGAATAGGGGGTCATTACGGCAATTTACGGCCGGTGTCTTGCTGTCTGCCCCCTAGGCCATTTACCAATACCCCTGTTTGATGACGGTCACTCGGTACGGGATAGTGTCGGCTCGACCATGAAATGTGGTGCAGGTCAGGGTTGCCTTTGGGGCCATCAGTGCCAGCGCACCCAAAGTTCACCACTAAAACACCCCGTGGCAGGTACCCTGATGGCTATTCGGCCTAGGAAGCATTGTACGATATCCACCCTACGACAGCCAAGCCACGGTAGCCAGCTCTCGACAGCCACCTTCCTTACGCTAGCCACCCTTCCTTCGACAATCACCCCATAATTACGATAAACCCCACTTACGATCCAGTATCCACCTGACAAATGTCTGACCATCCATCTTCTGAAGACCACAAAACAAACGCCTCATTGCACTGACATACAATGGGACCTTCTTTATTATCGTATCGGCTCCATTCCAATCAATTATTTGCAACAAACACGAGTAATTGTGACGGTGACTCGGCGAGGGGTCCCCGCAGAGTGGCGACCGCCGACGCCATAGCTCCTCTCTGCTCCCTCTAGGCGGGACACAACAAACACATAGTACACTCGCGGGTACATACAGGAGCGGCCTACGACGCGGTGACTGCTGGTGGCGCCTAACAAACAGCGGTGGAGCTGTGTGACAGTGCCTACAGTCGCGCTCCGGCGCAGGTCCAAAGACAAGCCGGTGCGACGCAGCGCAGAATAAGCGACCATCGCCTGACGCCGCTGCCACAGCATGCAAACAAACGCGCACAAATGCGCACAACTGCGCACAAGCGCGCTGAGACGAGCGCAAACGCAGACGAGCGCAAATGCGCGCAGCACGTTGCCGGCACAACGCGTCAATATCACCATTCGAGCACACGTTAAATAAATGGGCCAGCCCACGCAGTAGGTATCTGGCCTCAGTCATAACTCACAACGCTACAGTATGAAGGAGGGCTACGACGGGTCGGGTCGGGTTGGGTCGAGTCGGAAGGGATGTTGGGTTGGGTCGGGTCAGAAGGGATGTTGGGTCGGGTGAAGTTGGGTCGGGTTGAAGTGGGTTGAGTGATGCTGAAGGTTGAGACCCAGGATGAGGCAGTGAAGGAAGATGGTGAAGTCAGTTTTGTATTGAGGAATGGACATACATGTATGTATGTATGTAGTGTATGTATGTAACGTCAAGGGACGCTATACCTATCTCACCTAGCAGAAGCAGTTGTCTAAACGTTAGTTTTGATGTGGTGTCCGATATGTTATTTTTCAAAAGACTACCTAAGCTAAAAAAAAGTCAATAAGGAAATAGGTCAGTGGCATACGGATGGCTCGGTAGCTGGCTGGAAGCAAGTTCATAATCTCATCCGTGAGCATGACCAAAAGGGGGCTTTCTGTAACAACTAACACACATGGAAAAGGTATTGTTGACAGAATAGCAGCCATAAAGACAAAAAAGGCCTCGTGCATTCAAATACGGAATGTGGCGAGAATAGCAAGAATAAGCCAATAAGGAAAAGAATGTTGAACTGCGAATAAGCTGCGAACCTAGCCAATAGCTGGCGCCTGGCAACAAGCGACGTTCATTACGAATTGGATGGGCACTGCGCTCTGCGCTCTGCAAGGTTGTTCACACCAGACAGGCATATAATGGTGTAAAAGGGCTGTCAAAAGCAAAATACTCGATTACTTTGGTTCTCCTTTCATTCCATTCCTCCGACCTCATTTACAAATTACGGCTGCAACGGTCTCACGTTATTAGAGTCTGATGTTATCACTCATCATGAACAGATATACATTCAGAAGAGCATGCACAGGGTGCGATATTTGTGAAAGGCTACCATTCAAGGGTTTCGAAATTCCGAAGTACCAATGACCTACTCAAGTGGCTGTTCTTTTTACAGCGAATAGGAAGTGCTTAGCCATAGCGCTCATAAAACACTGAATGGAAATGGTGCATTGAGTGCAGTCGTTCCACCACCGTCGCCTTTCACCATAGCTAATCCTGGCTCTGCAGTGCAATACGCAGTTGCAGGCCTGCCATCGTGTAGTTCAGGATTCCGGCCGTACACCTGGGCCCGGCGGATTTCGCCGAAAGAAGCAGCCATTGCCGTCATGCGTCTAAATGCAGACTAAATCCTGGATAAACTGCAAGTGCCATCAGCTGCGGTGTATCTCCGCCCTATCATCCCACATAAACCGCCCGCCCGGAGCCATCCTCACCGCCCGGCGCAACCAACAGGTGTCGACTATTTAGCGAAATGACTGGCTTATGTATAAATTTCATTTACGTCAGCAGAGCTTTACCGTTTCCGCATAGTAATAGTGCATGGTGCGCTGAGTAGAGTTGTACCTGAGTGCTGCATGGGCCACTTATCAAGATCACCAAGCATCCTAAGAGATGTTGTCGCAAGGGCCGTCAGAAAAGAGGAAAGTGCATTAGAAAAAGATTGCTGCTATGCGCACATAGAAACTCTGCTTAGGACCGGCAGATGTCGTGATTAGTGAATGACGTACACATCAAAGCTGGCTGCTCGCGAAGGGCCGCCTGTCGGCATCACATAATACTCGAGTCATTTCAAAATTAATGAGGTTTGCCTACGAGCGTCAATCATTACACGATATCGAATAATCAGCATCGCCTATTCATAGCATAAATGAAGAGGAAGCGTTCCAACGCGCAAACACCAACCAAACAGGCGCACTGGGCACCGAGTGCCGGTAAAGTGTCCAGACAGCCACGTCCTGGTGCGGTAGGAGCCAGGCGCATCACCAGTGGTTCAGCACCACCAGCCCCCGACTCAGCGATCCCTAATACCAGTGACTCGGTCGTCTCAGTTGGTGACGTCAATACCGGCGCCGGCGTTATCCTCAGAGTCAGAGTCGGAGTCGACGGCGGGGTGCGCCGACGAGCCGCCCTCCTCTGAGACGGCTCCACCCTCGCTGCTCTCTCCGGCCTCCGCGGCGTCACCGGCGTCACCTCCCTCGCCGCCCTCGCCGCCGTCCGACGAGCGTTTGTGCTTGGTGCGCCGGTTCTGGAACCACACCTTCACCTGGAGGAGCAGAATGGTAGCAGCTCAGTGACTCGGCCAGTCACGAATTATATCGATGGGGGAGTGTTGTTTAGCGTTTCAGTGTAGTTTTATATCCATGCAACACATCTAAAAGGGGTTGGTTCGAGTGTCATGCGTTCCAAAAAGTTTTGACAACGCAGAAACGAAAACAACAGAAACAGGTGTCATTCTGTTCCGTCTCTTTTGCGATGATCGAAATCGAGATGCTGCAAGACATATCTCGAGTGCACAACGTCGACAATTCTCTGTTTATTTATGCCTGGATTTTCTTTTGAGTCGGGGTTGTAGTGCAAGCATATGGTTCATGTAACGAATACCTGTAGAAAATGACAAATGTTAAATGCAGCTTTTGTTCGTGGCTAGCTTTGGAAGGCGGCGACTCTAAACGATTACTGAAAAGAAGTGGTTAGTAATTACTTATTTACGATATTATTTATCCTAAATTTTGACGTGATAAAAATCATCCTGAGAGCATTGGCATCGGTGCGAGGGCATATGGGGTAAGGCGATCTTTAATGGGTGAAGGACGAAGGTGTACTTTTAAAAACATTAGTAGGAAACGATTGGAATGTGCTCCTCTCTCCACTAGGAGTGTGCTACTTTCAAATTCAGCCTTAGGCGTGTGTTACTTCGATGTAAAGATCTTTCACAACCGTAGGACAAAAACTCACATTCCACCGTTACAACAGCTCAACGACCGGAAGATATAATTTGCCGTCGACAGAAATACACTGGCAAATTATTATGCTGAGCGAAATAAATGATTGCGGGGCGTCACGAGTCATGAAGACTTTGATTAATATCATGTGCCAATTTGCAGCTGTTTCATTCAGAGTTTTATAGTCAGCCATAGTCAGCATAATAAAATAACTAGCTGGCGAAAATTTACTGCGTGGATTTTGTCGGCAGGTCTCATTTAGTTATGCTTGGCGGCTTTAATGACGACAATTCCCTCCAGTCCAAGTGCATACATATCATCAGACATTTCAGCAAATGTAATGTTAATATGACTCCCAGCTACTCAGGGGCCCGCTACGACCGTCGCAGACAGAACTTCCTCGGTGGACGGGCTTCACCTCTCGTGAATGGCAAACTGTCCAATAGCCGCCGAGCCGAGCCCCACAATCGGCACATCGCTACAGCCACCGGCGTGTTTTCCTACATGCTTTCAAGTCTAATGAGTCCTAATGGTGTCCGCATCGTGCCGGCAGCAGGCAGGGGCTGGCTATCGGCCTAGCAGTGCCGGCGAGCACAGTTCGCGTGTCCGCAGCGCGCTGTAAAGACACGCCGAATCACGTGACCGAGGGGCCGTAGCGCCACGCCTACCCGGCGAGCACGGCGGTGGTCGTAGCACGGCGAGGGGGTGGCTGCTATCGCGCGGTGCTCCCACCTGCTAGCAACCGAGGGACGCGGGACTTTGGGGGATGTCTGGGCAGATCTACGAGTGGTCGCTGTAACGCACTCTGAGTGGTCGCTGTTAGTTCATACAAGCATACTGCATAGGTATGGGGTCGGACATTATACCTATAAGCGTTGCACATTGACTGTCTGCAGGCCTCACGCAGCATTGCACTCAACTCTGCAATCTTATTGCAGTGAGGCAGTGGGACACTGTAGTGAGACAGTGGGGCACTGCAATACAGACGCACTAGCCAGCTCGGCACTGCAGCAGCGGGTCAAGTCATTCCGGCCGCGTATATGGTCCTGTCCGGTGACCGGTGACCTGACCGACAGCCGACGGAAGGGCGCACTGACGAGTCTAAGTGACCGCAGAGGGTCGTTTGGGTCGTGCCGGATGTCCATTAGAGCCTGAGTTCCGCACAGTGTGCTGTGATTGCCTTTACTTTGACTCCTACCTGTCCATTATATGGTGCAGAATTCACCCATATCGCCGCTGTTGACATTGTGGCGGTGGTAGAATGACAGGGTAGTGCGCTTTGCTAATGCTGACAGCCATACAGAAGGGAGAAACTGACCATAAGTCAAAGCGCAAATAATTTCCTAACGCCGACCTGTTGTTATCATTAAGTGCAATTTATGATAGTTCACAGAAAAGCAATAATTCAATAGTTAAATAAACCTCCTTGGGTAGAAGCCACAAATAAAAAGGTACGATGCTTTGATATTGGCCATGGCTTTCAGCCCGCAAGTTATGCAGTTTTGCACCTCTCCTTTGGATTACAAGTCAGACAACAATCGGTAAATTATTGGTTAGGAAAGCTGATCGCGTCGGAGCACTAAGGTGCGAAAGGTCCCTTCGTGAGGTCCAGGAATTGAAATATAGGTCTTTTGCTACCACTCTTTTGAGTCCAGAGTTGGCGACTTCCTGCTTCGCCTTCAACCGTGAGTCAGCGGTCAGACGGGGCGTGGCGCTCATGACCCAGCCCTGCCGCCGAACCGATCGCCTGCGAGCGATCTGGCACGTCTCAGCACCACGGGCTAATTCGAGTCCGTCCGTCCAGGCTGCAGCGGGGTGCGGGCTCGTCTGACTGGATTAACGGCCAAGACATGAGGCGATTATTTTCAATAGCGCCGGCTGCGGGCTGCGGGCGGACGGTGGTGGGCGTCCTGCACCGAGAGGGAGGGACGGTGGGGATCGGGGAGGTGTGGTGGTAGGAGCACGCCCCGTCAGTCAGCAGACATTGGTCAGTGGTCAGTGGTCAGTCCGTCAGTGGTTACTGGCTAGTGGTCAGAATCAGTAGTCAGTAGTCAATGGTCATTGGCCAGTGGTCACTAAAAGTTGGTCAGTGGTTAGCGGTCAGTCGTCAGTGGTCAATGGTCATTGTCCAATGAACTGTAGTCAACAGCCAAGTGAGCACTGGATACTGAGTTACGGAGTGGCCAGGCCAGTATCTTTGCTTATTCAGCAGGGTTCAGCGTTCAACGCTCACGTGCCTCTGGTCACCACCGCCCACCAGACTCCTCGGCACGCCACTGCTGTGATCGAACCGATCGGCTCAGCTCGATCACGTTCAGCGGGCTACCCCGCAGCCTCCGATCCGGAGAATCACGCTCTGACGGCCTTCGATCCGGCCACTTCCTCGAAGCCACACAACTCGTGAAAATCCACCAAATCAGTCCATATTCCAGCAAACGCTCGTTTCAGACATCATCTCATAAAAACTATAAATACCAACTGATATTTTGCTCGTGAGCACGACTTTGTATAGTCGCATTATAGCTTTAAACATTAAATAAACCGCATTGCCACTTTATCAAATATGATGATAAATCTCCACCCCATGTTTATTAATGAAAGCCTGATACTTTTGTTAATTAAGGAAACATGACAGTTATGAAGGAGTTTTAAAACCACAATGGAGCATTGACAAACTGAAGTAATTTTCCCTTCCCGCTCCCTCTGTTATAAAATACGAAACGTAACCACACAGCCCATTCCACTCAGTACACGTGAGGAGATATGGAATGAAGAGCTTAATTAGTGATAGCACCAAATGTTATGCAGCTTTTGTTCATGGCCGTAGATCACTGCACGTCTTCATGAAGTTTTAACAAAATCTGTCGAATGCCTATCGATTAATAACATTTCACTTAACATGCTGTTCAGAGCTTGCGTTGTTACTTGTGACTTATATGTAGACAAATCAAATGAAGCATGCAGGTTTTATGGGAGATGTGTTCGTACATCGTATTCAGCCCCAGCTCAGCTCAGCGACACACACACACACCCCGTATCTGTTCAGCTCTGCCCGCTGTTCAGCCCGCGGTATCTGCTACTCAAGTGGCAATTCTTATTGCATACGACTGCTGCTGGACGCACCGCCGGCCCCGTGCCCATTCCAGTCCTGCGTCCCGCCCATTCCTCCGGTCATGCATGTCTCGTCAATTCCGCCGACTCCGTCCCTCCCATTCCGCCAGTCCCGTGTCCCTTCCATTCCGCCGGTCCTGCGTCCGGTCCATTCCACTGGTGCCGCGTGTGCACTGTGCAGTCCATTCCGTGACGCCCTTAGTCATGCCCGATCATTAAGTCACAAAGTCCGGCTTTTAATGGCCACACTAAGAGCTGACCGGACCGCCTCGCCGGCGCATTAATGCATGCGCCATCCCAAGACGACTGCGAAAATGAGTAATAGAATTAATCAACAATTAATAACCTTTACGGGGCAGTTAAAATTCGTTGCTACTTACACGCAATGAAATAACGACTGCATTGCGGGAATTCAAAACGGCGTTACGCTGATGCTGCAGCCGTTAGGCTAATAGCAACTGCAGCGTGAATGAACTACGGCCGTGTCTCAATTGAGAGCCTCTGCGCAGAGGCCCAGCTGCGCCAATTCAGCTCCTGTGCGCCACATTCGCCCCAGAGCTAGCGGTGCTGTTGCAGATCTCAGCAGGATGACAGAAGCTTGGTGAGTGACGGTGGTGTGATGGCGGTCAGTGGTGTCTGGTGGTTGTGGAGCTCCGTCCAACGAGACAACAAATTGAGCCGGTCACTGGCGACGGATTGGTGACGTGGCGACACGACAGCTGGATGGGACGGTCGGCGGGGCCCTCTGTCCAGCTGAGACTGACAATGCGGCGTGACTGTGCAGAGAGAGGAGGAGGAGACAAGAAGTATTTAGGGGGTTTGAGAAAGAAAGAAAGAAAGAAAGAAAGAAAGAAAGAAAGAAAGAAAGAAAGAAAGAAAGAAAGAAAGAAAGAAAGAAAGAAAGAAAGAAAGAAAGAAAAAAAGAAAAACAGAAAGAAGGATAGAAAGGAAGGAGCTAGAGAGGAGAGAAAAAGAATTACTGTCAAGATTTAATGTATTTGGAAGACAGAAATAAGAAATGGATGAAAATGCATAGATAAAAATGAGAAGATAGGAGGAAGACATTTTTGAGTGAGATGACCCAACGCATGAACCATAACTTGTACTCGGAAGATTTCCAACGACCTCAGGGCACGCTCGAGAACCGCGGCGTCATCCTCTACCCATTGTCATCATGAATTGAACACATTAAGCCCATCCACGCTTCACA